ATTTTATTTATTTATTTGACAGAGAGAGACACAACGAGAGAGGAAACACAGGCAGGGGGAGTGGGAGAGGGAGAAGTAGGCTTCCCGCCGAGCAGAGAGCCCGATGCGGGGCTCGATCCCAGGACCCTGGGATCGTGACCTGAGCCAAAGGCACACGCTTAACAACTGAGCCACCCAGGCGCCCCTAAACAGATTCTTGAAGGATAATCCACTGGTGGGCAAGATCCACTAAGACTGGTGATAGGGAAAGAAGGAATAGAGAGGACAGCATGTACAGAGGCAGGCAGATATGAAAGAGCAGGTCCATCTGAGAACTGACCAGAAGCTCTGTGTGGCCAGAACCCTGAGAGGGAGGAAAGGGTGTGGTCATAGGCTATAAAACTGAAAAAGTCAGGGCCACGCCTGGGAAGAGCTTTGTATGGTAAGAGGTTTGTAATTTATTGTGTCGTTTTTTGCATTACCTTCATTTAGAAGTTGAATAGAAAATTGAGCCTTTCTAGACTGCCATTTTTCCATCTGTAGAATAAGTAGTTAGCTTAGATGATTGCCAAGGTCCCCCTCTAACCTACAACTTTCTGAGATTTTATCAGTTACTTCTTGTGATACTCTCAGGTCTGGGAACATAGCTGAGGTTATAGGAATAGCATGACTTCTGTAGTAGTAGGTCACCTGATATCTCCTAAGATTGACCCATTTCTCTTACTAGTACAAATGAGAGCACTGCTACTTTGTGGATTCAGCATAAGGATTTGAGAAAGCAGACTTCTGGAGGAGAAATGCCATGCCTGGCCCATGCATTCAGGCCCTTCATAAAGAGTATTTCATAATGATAAAATATTTGTAAGATAGTTTATATTCCATGCACAGAGGCGCTATAAAATGGGGACAATCTTATTGTAAAAATTCACATTCTTACCAATTAGTACTAGAGACCATTATGGCTTACCATGTGTAAGTCTTTACACTCAAAACCTGGTGTCTGAATTGCTATGGAAGTTCTTCAGTATGCCTTTTTTTTTTTTTTTTTTTACGGTTTCTCATTTATATTAGGTCTCTACATTGTAATTTCATCTCTGTTCAGACACTTACTGGGATAGCTATAGCTCTACTTGTATCTCTAATAAGCTACGTGTTATTGATTTCATGTCTTTAAGTGAAGTTATTCAAGTTCTGATGTATGTGAATATCTTATTTACCTCTTAGGGTCTCCCCAAGTATAGAAAATAGCCAGTGAATCAAAAAACAATATATGATAGGCTCAGAGTTTGAAGATTCCAAGACTCTAACGTAGCCAGATTTGTACTTTCTGATTCATTTTATCAAACACAGGTAGATGAATGCACTGAAAATTTCTAAATATATTTAGAATGTTGCAAGTTGAAATATACAGACATCTTTGAAATTCCAGCAAGAGCTGTTGGAAAAAAATGTTTATGGTTTCTGTCACTTGAACATCAAACATTCCTATTAGAGATGGTTCGAATACTTTTTAAAAATGCTTTTCAATTGGAAACCATTGCCCTCTCCCCACCAAAGAAAATTATAGGGAAACTCTAGAATATTGGCCACTGTTGACCTCTTTGCCCTCCTCTTCCTTCACAGACATCGATGAGTGTGCTGAAGGACGTCATTACTGCCGCGAGAATACGATGTGTGTTAACACCCCAGGTTCTTTCATGTGTGTCTGCAAAACTGGATACATCAGAATTGATGATTATTCATGTACAGGTAAACAGTGACTGTTTGTGAAAGTACATATTCCCGTGCCTTAAATTTACTTTTAAGAGTTCATTTTAAGTCTACTTCTATGCCATAAATACTCCCTTACAACAGAACAATACTTTTCACAAGGAAAAGCCTATCTCTTTGATTTGGTAGTTAATTCTGAACCTGTTCTAAGGAAAGGAATACCTGCTTGCTCTGGGTAAGTTTTATACTCCCTGTTAGGAGAGTTAAAGAAAAACTAAAGAACCAAATTAGTATTATGCTAATTTTATACTTAAACAGTATTTATACTCAAAACTTCTGTGAATTCTATGGAAAATGTGAGAAACAACCCTTAAATAATATTTCCTTTATATGGCAGTGGGTTTTTGCATAGAGGAAGAAGAACATAAATAATGTGATGTTTTCAGAAATAGATTCTTGGAGTGCTAGGAAATGGGAATATTAAAGAGAATCGAGCTCCTTCATGCATCTGGGAAATGCAGCTGAGTACATCAAAGAAGTTTTGCTAATGTTTGTTTTATGAACTATCACTCCCTGCAGTACCATCCAGAGTCCTGTTCAGGGATATCTTGAGTGTTAGTAATGCCTAAAGTTGGTCCTGGGATAAGACAACCCATTTGCTTCATATTCTTTCCTACCAATATTCCTACTAGAATATTGAAAGAAAATGGTGCTAGACAAGTAGCTTGAAGACTATAGGGTTTGAGGAAATGTGCATGTGAAATAAGACATTTCTTTGGATTTCCTTTTTTTCAAATAGAATAATCTTAAAAATAAATAAATTTTAGAAAAACATGTGGGACCATAAAACCAGAGAGCACTTAAAAATATTATTCTTGTCACTTTTTACTCTACCTGCCACTTTCTACTCTACCTCCAACTTTATAATTTTTATCAGATGGATGTACAAATAATACTTAGAGGTTTTCAGGGAAAAAGACTCTATAACACTCCAGTAAAAATATGAATCTATAATAAAAGTGTCACCTTATGCCTTCGTATTAGAGTGCACTCTTCTAAGTTTCCATTACAGCGACCATAGTGTGTACTACTTGATATCTTGTTTATCAGTTAGAGCAAAGGGCAGATCCTTCCTCTAAATTCAAATATAGTATTTATATAAAAACAAAATGTTGGGTATAAAGAACAATAAGAAGTGACCTTCCAATCTATGGAGAATAACCCAAAGATATTTTGAAGATAGAATATGTATTTAATATAGAGTTGCCAGTGGGTTATTTTTTTAATTCCAAACATTTCCACATTATGGGACCAATTCTGCACTTTTTCATTAGACAAAAATTAATCACATTGAGTGGCAGAGTTTCTTGAAGGAGGTCTGCAGAGATATTTTTCAACACAAAAAAAGAATATAAATGACGGATCTCAATAAATACATGGAGAATAAAATACACAGTTTGCTGTATTATTGGTAATATCAATAATTCTGAGTTCCAGCGTATTTGTTAACAACAAGAACAATAATCTTAGCAAAACCACCACATCTCAGAGCGATATTTCAAGATGTGCTCATTAAAAAAAAAAAAAAAAAAAAAAAAGAGTGCTAGCAGTTTTCAAGGAGTCTGCCAATTCCTTGGCATGAAAGACTTAAAAAGCTGGGCGCCTGGGTGGCTCAGTTGGTTAAGCGACTGCCTTCGGCTCAGGTCATGATCCTGGAGTCCCGGGATCGAGTCCCGCATCGGGCTCCCTGCTCGGCGGGGAGTCTGCTTCTCCCTCTGACCCTCCTCCCTCTCATGCTCTCTGTCTCTCATTCTCTCTCTCAAAATAAATAAATAAAAAAAAATCTTTAAAAAAAAAAAAGAAAGACTTAAAAAGCTTTGTACATGTTTATACTTCTTAGTTGATTCTTTTTGTTTTTCTTATATTCTTAAAAAGTGTTCGAGGTTGTAAATAAGAATACATGACACATAATTTGGCCTGCTGTTGAATGAGGAGTGTTTCTTCGGGGCAGGGTATTTTTAAGAGATTCATTTCCATTCCAAGCCTGTCTGTTGGCTGTAAATCCAAGGAATACTTGAGATGTCATCCCTTCCAGAGACACTCCTGCTTTGGCTTTACCTCTCCCAGTGTATTTTCCTTCCAAATAAAATCCCACAAATGACTATTTGTTTTTGACTACTTAGGGAGAATTTTCCATTAAGATTCCAAAGTATCTAATGATATCAATGAAGTATCCCTTTGTAGGGATGCCAATGAAGGCCAAGATCATTTTAAGAAAAGCTGTTCAGACCATGATTTTGTGCCTAAAGAACCAGAGCCAAGAATTTCAAGATCTGGCAGGTGATGGAATGTATTTCCTTAATGATGCACAGTATTTGTTTCCACTTAAAGAAGGATTTCTTGCCCTTTAATTTTCTATATACTGTGGGTAGGTCTACAAATTGGAGGATTTACATCCATATGTGAAAGTTGGATTTCCTAGGGAATAGGAGTGGATTTTATTTTGTAGTCCAAAGTCAGGCGATCTTTGACAAACTTTTTATGTTAGACCATACAGGGTCAGCACACATTCAGGGTCCCTGTAGAGGAAATGAATGCTTAAATTCTCCCTCTTTGAATCTCTCCCTGCACACTTTAATGTTAGCATCTGTACCAAAGCCTCGAAGAAATGACTCTTCTGATGGGGACTTGCCTTGCAGCTGAAGGTATCTAGGCTGTACCTTTTCAAGAGCTCCCATAAGAACAGAGTTGGACCTTATCTCTCTGATAAAGACTGGGATTTATTTTCCATGAATTTAGAAACAGATATCCGCATACTTGCAGTGGTAGGCCTTCCAGAATGAATGTCAAAACACCACTGCAGAGCCATTCTCTGATGTTTGTGGTTGAGCTCTTGGAGTTGTGAATTTGTTTTGCTTCTGGATCCCTGCCCCTCTTTCCTGTTGAAGAACCCTCTGCCGTAATGTAGCTGACATTCTCCGCACGGAACCCAGCAGACTCTCAAAGTTGCTTTCCCCGCCTGAAAATGAATCATTCTAACTTAAAGAAGACTTTAAGAGTGAAACATGTTACTTTATAGTCAAGAGCTTTGATCAATAAAAGAAACTTTTTTTTGCTTTTATAACCTTTTAGCTCTTGCATAGAAATCATGTATGCTACAGTGTAATTACCTTCCATAATTGGTAGAATTGCATAGGTTTTTTTTTTTCTCTTTCAGTTCCAGACAGTTTGAGTTATATTTCCCCCGTGATCATAAAATTCTGGAGATGGAAGAATTCTTAAAGATAATCTAGTCCAATCTCCTAACTTTCACATGTAGGAAAACTGAGGATCAGAGAGATTAATTGCCTTACCCATGGGGCAAAAAGAGGGCAAAAAGATAAGCTTCCTTATTCTTAGTTCTCCTATTATTCACCATGTTTTAATTTGTGACCATACAAAAATAATAAAGGGAAAGATTCATATTTTATAGAGAAATACATTATTTAATTTCTAATGTTCAGTAATTAAACTGCCTTTCTATAGATTGTTTCAGTTCATTAGCTTCAATTCCAAGAGGAATGTTTCCCCTACAGATCTTATAATAATTCTGAATCAGAAGTCAGTAGAAGAAGTATAAATCGCCACTTTCTGGGCCTCTGACTCTATTATACAGCTACACTAATGACTCAGTGGCAAAAATGATATAGCAGTTTAAGCTCTTCTAAACCCATTAATATAATTTTCCTTCCAGCGAGGGTGTTATTTATTTATTTTTCTAATTAATGCTTCATAATCGCTTTCCTTCTCATGTCCCTTCCTGTTCTCATAGAGGAAAGAATAGGTACACCTACAGGAAAGAAAGAGAATGAAAAAGAAGGAAAGAAGGATGGAGGGAAGGAAGGAGGGAGGGAGAAAAAAGACAAAGGAGGGGAGAGAGAAGGGAAAGAAAAGGGTTTGGTTCACATGAGCCAAGATGTTAGAAGCCCGCTCTTCAGTATCTCTAATTGCAAAAATAACTTAATTTTTATGCATAACAAATTTGCTTGGTTACTGATCTGGACTAATGGTTTCCTTGGTTCACTTGTATAAGTGTTAATTGAATTGGGCAAATCTTTTTGAGTTTTACTGGACATCCCTTCCTGGAACTGGTCTTGTGTAATGGACAAAGAATAAAATGTCTCTGGAAACAAAGGCAGAATCCAAGAATTGTGGAATTATCAAAGGATAACAATATATGGAGTGAAGAGGCATTCATGTCAAATCTTCCTGCTATATCTCTCTGCTCTGATTATTATAATTTAAAAATGGATTTCCGATTCTTTTTTCACATGTTGATGAGCTTGTAAATCTTCCCACTGCTGTGTAGAGTGGGAACAAAAAATTGGGAAGGGCAAACTGGTAGAAGGGATGGAAAAGGTCTTGCCCAGCTTAGGGAGAAAATTGATCCTTTAGGGCAGTGGTTATCCAATGAGGCGAGTTTTGCCCTCCTACCTGCCAGAGGTCATTTGACACTGTCTGGAGACATTGTGGTTATCACAACTGTGAGGAAGGGAGTTGCTACTGGCACCAGGTGGGTAGAGGCCAGGGATGCTGCTAAACACCCTATAGCATTATTAATAGGCTATCTCTCCTCTTGAGGAAATACCCTCTTGAGGATTCTACTTTCCTAGGATCCTTTCAGCTGGGAGCTTTTCTCTGGTTACTTTCCAACTGAGTCACTAATCTTCATCCTGTTCAGGACATTCACTGCAAGATAGCCGCCTATAACAAAGAATTATATGACCCAAATGTCAATGGTGCCAAGGGTGAGAAATGGTGCTTTAGGGTTAGCTGATCAAAATTGTAAAAGGTATACTTCTTTTTTCAAACTTTCCCTTTTCTTCTTCAAGTTTCCTTTAGGTCCTATGGTGCCCTGTGTCCTTTTATTGTCCTTTGGCTTTCTCAGTAAGACCCACTGTCCCCCATTCTTCCACCTCCTTTCTCTTCTCGGAAACCTCTTCTTAGATGAACATAGGAGAATGATTCCCCAATGGTAAAATTTCAGTCCTCAGCAGAGG